TAACCTCTCAAGTTTTTTGTTTAAAAATTGTGGTTTAACTAAATTGTAAAGTTATGAACAAAATACCAAAAATCCATAAAGGTGTTGGGGAGGGAAAGGAGCAACGAGGAGAGTCACAAAAGTAATTTTTCTCTCTTTTTTTTTTTGTTCCCCTTCTCCTCATAGGATACTTTAACACTTTAAGACGAATGTTCCATCAGAAGCACTAATGGATGTTGGCATGCCTTGGATAAGGTGGTGACCGCTGGATGTCATTTGTTTCTGTTCACTGCAGAGAGCCAAAATTGACTCCGTTTGGAGTTGAGAGAGAAAGCAGTACAGACCTATCAAGATGACTGATCCTATGATGGATTTTTTTGATGATGCCAATCTTTTTAGTGAGACCTTAGAAGGTTTGTCAGATGATGCCTTTGTTCAACCTGGACCTGTTTCACTTGTTGATGAATTGAATTTGGGTGCAGAATTTGAACCTTTGCACATAGACTCGTTGAACCATGTGCAAGATGCTCAAAATCCACAGAAGATGAGTGAGTTTGATCAGCTGAATCAGTATGATTCATTGAAACTTCACTCAGTAAATCAGTCTTTTAATAGCTCAGCTGACAACGTCTTATCACCACACTCTCAATTCAGTTGTTCACCAATTCATCCGCAAAGCCAGTCTAATGGGATGTTTCCAGATGTGGCTGATGGTAGTCCTATGTGGGGACATCAAACTGCCACAACTGTTTCAAATCAAAATGGGTCCCCCTTTCACCAAGGACATTCTCAGTCTATGCAGCAAAACAAAAGCTTTGTAGCACACCATGACTTTGCCTTATTTCAGGCTAATGAACCACAGCATCAGTGTGCCTCACTACGGTTGCAACAAAGCAGAAATAACACGGGGCAAGATGCTTTGAGTCAGCCAAAAGACTTCATGGAAGTTAACGCGTCTACTTCTCACAGAGTTGGTGTTAACCACCCACCTCCGATTTCTAATCCATCAACTTCACAGCAGCCCCTGTCTGTTCAACAGTTTTCTCAAACTCCAAGTGCTTCGCTACATTTTTGTGGGAATCAAGAAGGAAATTTTGGTGGACAGTCCCCAACTATTACTCCATGTTCTGTCAATAATAGCCAACAATTTTCATCTCCTTATTCTTACTCCAGTAACCACATTTCTCCTACCAGCCTTCTTCAGTCTACAACAACTCTTTCTTCTAGCCAGCAGACACACTCTATCTCTGACTTCACTGGAAGCGATGCCTTTACATCTCAAACAGGGACCAAGCAAGAAACAACTGAGCACATGTTGAATCCTAATACACCTTTGAATTCAAATAGTTTTCAAATGTTGCATTCTGCACATCCTCAGGGCAACTTTAGTAGTTCAAAACTCTCTCCTGTGAATATTAATTTTCCAGCTTCTGCTGGTTCTGCTTCTCAGATAAGCCATTTCACTGACCCCATTGAAAGCAACGGTTTTACATCTTTAGATGAGAACTTACTTCATCAAGTCGAGACTCATAATGAACCATTTACAGGACTTGACCCAGATGACCTCCTTCAGGAAGACCTCCTGCCACAGTTTGATGATTCTGCGTTTGTTCAGGATAGCACAAGCCATGTTTTAGAGCATGACCTAGAACATCATATAACGCCACAGCAAGTAACACAGTCGTCTGATCTTCTTCGGGCACAGTCTCAAAGTCAGATCCATCCTTGGCATTCTTCAGTTTCTAATCAGCATCTGCAAGACAGAAGTCGTGTAACCTTACAAGGACGGGTATGTAAGGATTTGGGGGATGGGGGTTTGAGCTTTTCGGTTTGGTTGAATAATAATGAGTGCTTGTGCCGGGATGTGATAACTGAGGTCTCTGAGATGCTATTATTTGACCTTGAAGAAGTCTAAGTAACTGCTAGTTTGGGGGGG